TTAAGTCATATAATGCCTTGTGAAGTCGATAAACTTTATCTTCTTTTTCTTTGATTAGATAACCTTAAGGTTACTCCACATACACTTCTCTTCCAGTTTGTCATTAAAAAATGTAGATTTGACATCCAACTGATATACTGGTAACTCACGAGGTGCTGTTAATACTAGAACTATCCTAATTGTCTACATTCAAACAACGGGGAAAAAGTTTTATTGAAGTTGATACCCGACTATTGTGAATAACCTTTCACAACTAGTCGAGCTTTGTGTTTTTAATAGAACCATCTTCCTTGTACTTGGTCTTATAAACCCATCTGAGTCCGATTGCTTCTTTTTCTTTAGGTAAGTCAATAAGACCCAAGTGTGATTTTTTTTCAATACTTATAATTTCTTCATTTATAACTTCTATTATATCTCCTCTTTTGATGCTTCTTCAAAATTTTGTGGCTCGTAGGCAAAAAATGTAACATCACATGATTCATATATATTAGCCAACGAATGTACTTTCCTTAGTGGTGTTTCAAAATTAGATAATTGTGGTGATGTGCCTTCGGATGAATTTCTACTTGAACTAAGGCTTTGACTAGTGCTTGGAGTTGATCATGGGCTTTGAATTGGGCTCGAGTCTAGACTCCTTTGTGGACTTTAAGATTCTTGCAATCTTACAGGTTCGATAAATTGAAAGTCTCCCAGTTCTTGGACTGAATTGTATATCTATTGCCATGTTGCCATCTCATCAAATATGACATCCTAGAAAATCAACAACTCATTTTTATCTGGATTGTATAGATGATATCATTTAGACTCATTGATAGGGGTGTCTTGTTTAGAAATGCCTTTGTATGAGATCGATTGAGAATATTGACAACTGTGTTGACGGTCTCAGTCCATAAATTGTCAAGAAGTCCTTTGCCTTTAAGCATGCTTCATTCTATTTCCACAATAGTGCAATTTTTTCTTTCAACTATACCATTTTGCTGAGGTGATTTTTGGATTGAGAGTTGCTTTTGATTACTTTTTCCTTGCAATAATTCATGAATGAAGTATGGATAAATTCTCCAGCACGATCTTTCCTGAGCGCCTTCAATTTTCTGCCACTTTGTTTTTCTGTCGTGGCTTTAAACTCAAGAAATTTGGAGAATGCTTCTGACTTTTGCTCGAGAAAATAAATCTACATCATGCGAATACAATCATTAACAAATAGAAAAAAATATCTTTTGCTGCCAACTGATGGTATTTTGCTCGCCCCCCAAATATTAGCTTGCACTAACTGTAGTGGTGCTTTAGATCGCCAAGATGTCTTTTAGAATTGTAGTTGATGCGTCTTCCCAAAAAATAAATCTTTCACATACTTTATCAATTCTGTTAATATAAGGTAGGCCATGTATCATACTTTTTTCTTTCAACAGTTTCAAGCCTTTATAATTTAGATGTCTATATCTCAAGAACCATAAATAGAAATCACTGATTTTTTCAGTTTAAAGTGCAAGGTTTTTATCCTGTAGCATAACTAGAGGAAATATTTTATTTGAAGTTATTTGAACCTTTGTCATTGTTTGATTATTCTTTTTATCAGAAATAATGCGGGCACCGTTATTAAAGTTAACTGCATATCCTTTTGAAACAGTTGTCTAACACTAAGTAAATTTTGAGTCAATCCAAGAACATAAAGTATCAATAACAAATTTTTTGTACCTCCTTTTGATGACAATAACTCCTTTGCATTCGACATTTTGTAGCTTTCCATTGCCGAGCTTTACTTGTGAGGAAACTTTTTCATCCTGCTTCATAAACATCTTTTGGTTCTCAGTCATATGATTGTTGCATCCACCATCCAAATACCATGTATTTTCTCACTCTTGTTAAATATTCATACAAAAGAGCATGATATATTTTTCCTTTGTTTACAGTTGAACCAACAATCTTGTTGAGAATGATTTGATATTTTGCAATTTTTGCATCTAAATCTATAGTCTTTGACAGTATGATTAAATCTTTTGTAAATAATACACTGAGAATCAAAATTACTGTTAGAATTTCTTTGACTAGTGTAGCCTCTGGAATGCTTGCTCTAAAAACTGATTTGTAAACCAGCTCATCCTTTTCTCGTGTGCCTCCACAAAACTCATTTAACAGATGTCGAGTCAATTTTGACACATCCTTCGCCTCCTCAATCGCTACAACAATATGCTTGAACATCACGGGTAAACTTCGTAAGACTTTGTTACCAATATTTTTGTCTGGAAGGGTATCTCCAAAACTTTTAATTTGATTGACAATACCAGCAACTCGAGAAAAAAATTCTTATGTGTATTCATTTTCTTTAATTGTTAGATTGTTAAAATCTTGTCATAAAGTTTGAGGCTTGATTAGAGATTATGTTATCAAATCTTTAATATCTCCCAAGACTCCTTTAGTGTTTTGCACCCAGAAGTTTTGGACAATAATAGATTTGTTAACCCCTCATTGAATATTAAGAAGTGTCGCTGCTGCATCTTTTTGTTCTCCTTATATTTCTTCTAATCTGCATCTTGTCATGTTGCTAACTCCTTGTCATCTACTGGTGTTTCGAATCCAGTTTCACTCATTCTTTTTTTTTTCTTTGTTCTTTTTTTTTGTTACAGATACTTGTACCGATTATCCTCTCGAATTTTTTGTGGCTGATTATCGTGGGTTAAACTGAATTATAACATGTCTTTAAAGAGACAAAAATAACTAATCCTTATAGAGAGTGAAAATAAATTAAACCTAAAACCTAACTACACTAAGATTACCTTTTCACTTTTATTCATTGAATACATTCTCATGCCTAAAACTTCAAGCCTATTTGTAGGCATTTAGCCGCTCACATTAGCCGCGACAACCAGCTGGTGTCATCCAACCAATGGGAGTCAAGATCATCATGGTTAAGTTTAGCCAGCTCATATCCAGGAGCTTCAAGACTTCTCTACCGCCTTAATCACGTCATTCAGCCAATAGAAATGGAGGAAGGAAAAAAACTTTGCGTGTTTGTTTTTTTTTTGCAAAATTGTTTTTAATTATTAAAATTTTAAAAACGAGCAAAACATATTTGCTTAGCATTTTTATTCTCAAATTTTTGAGAAAAAATGAGAATTGGAACTAAAAAATAAAAAACAAGCTACACTTGATTTCAGAGTTTTATTTGAAAACGTTAGAAATATGGAGACAATTTTGGGTCTTCAAGGAGGTCTGACCTTCGAGTCCCCTCAGCAGCAAAATACTTCTTCAAGGAGGTCTGACCTTCGAGTCCCCTCAGCAGCAAAATACTTCCTTCCTTTTTTTTTCCCCTTTCTCTCTCTCTCTCCATCGTCTTCTTCTTCTCTCTCTCTCTCTCTCTCTCTCTCTCTCTCTCTCTCTCTCTCTCTCTCTCTCTCTCTGCAACAACGTTGTGTAGCAGAGAATTGCATCTCTATCTCACAACAATTAAAATTTAGATCTACCTAGATCTGAAGCACAGATCTGTGTAGATCTAAATGTGGGTTTAGATGTGTGTGCGTGTGTGTGAGTTTTGTGAAGACAAAGAGAGAGGAAAGATAGACATGACAATTGTGGATTTTGTAGATTATTGTCCAAACGGGTTTTACAATATTTTGTTCTTTAAAACTATTTTCAAAAATATATAATCAAACAGGTTTTGCAATCTAAAAATTCTAAAAAACACTTTCTTAAAATTTTTTTCAAAAACTATTTTTGAATACTGTTTTTTGAGATACAAATCAAATGGACCAAAAATTTCATATTTTTCCATCCCTCATCTGTTTCATTTTTCCTATCAAATAGAGCATAAGAAAACTTAACAACTCTACATAATTCCAGAAACTACTGTATAACCAACTTAATAAAAATAAAAAATTATATTTTTGACACCCCCTCTTAATTTATAATTTTCATTTGTTGTTAAAATTTATAAAATTTCTTCGATAATACGGCTTAGTGGGATTATTTGACATTGAGAAGTGTATTAATTGAGTTATTTGATATCAAGGGCCGTGCAAAGAAGATAGTATTTTTGAGCAGAAAAAAAAATTAGAATAAATTTTGTATCATTTTATCAAAGTAAAATTGGATTAATATTAACCGTTATTATACTTTTGTAAATTTAGAATTAATTTCTGGACTATAATATTAGATAAACTAGTAATATCTCAGTGCCTAAAAACAATCTGCAACACAAAATCAAACATCGATTATGCAGTATTTTTATTTTAAATAATTATATTTTAATTTTCTTGCCTTTAAGATAGAATAGAGAAATTAGTGTGGATTAGTGGAATTTTAGCATTGGGGGTCGTGCATAAAAAATGATATTTTGATCGATAAAAATTAGATTAATCTTGACCTTTATTGTACTTCTATAAAGTGAAATTTTAACTTTTTAACCATAATAGTAGATAAATTTTTAAATAAAACAAGATTTAAGCATGATAAGACATGTAAAGTCTGTACCAACTGGTCTAGAATAGTTCGTTAAAAACCAATAAAGAGTGATATAACATGAATTTTTTTTTTTTCTTTATAACAATAAGGGGTTTTTTCTTTGGTGATCTCCCCAATTTATTGTATTGTGTACTAAAAGAGGAGTTGTTAATTTGATTTGAACTCAAAATTTTTAGGTTTCCGAAATATACTGATCACAAACTAAGAGCTCTAAAAGCTTAAGTTAAAAGAACAGGAACAAGACAATCAATAGTAAATGCTTACATGAATGTAGGCATGGGTCTGAATTCAAGATACGCATGAAATGTTTCCGACTGCTATACTCTGGGGAGCGTTCCAGAGACTAAGAACTCAGATTTTTTTCACTTTTTTCACCTAGCCTTGAGTATGTACAAGTTACAAAAATGGAAAACCACTACACTTCGTACAAGGAGATAGCAAATGTAACTCATTACAGTGAGCGAGTCTTTACAAAGCGAGAATTGCCCCAGTAATCCTTAGGAACCTGGAGAACAAGGGCATAGCTCCATTTTTGACATGTATTATGCGGAAGAGCAAGCTTCAAGCTTGGGAAGGAGACTTCGCCAGGCATCAGCAATACCATTTGCCAGACGTGCCTGTCCCTTTGCAAATTCATGGAAAGCAAGCCCCATATCTAATGTTTTTTGTTCTTGGAATCGCACAATCTCTTTGTTCATCAGCCGCACTATTGTCTCAAATCTTCTTGTCGCTTCCTCACTATCAGCTTTCAGCTGTGTCACAAAACCACAATTAGGCAGACACAAGATTTCTGAAGTGGACACCAGAAAATTTTGCTAGGCTAACTAACCTCTTCATACTCGTGCTCAGCCTCAGCCATCCTTTCTGACCGTGTTAATTTAAGTTTGTTCCTGCAAATAAATAATTATACATAAACTACGCACTCTAGGATAAATATACATAAACGACCAATACTAGATTATATAATTAGAACCTTCAGGACCATGAGCAAAGAGGGAATTCTGTTTGAAAGATTAAATTAAAAAAGTGCAACATATTGTCAATATGCTTTCAACTTCACTATTTTCACATCGCCTTTCATGGTTTCAAAAGTTGAACTTTATGACAGAAAGTGAGCTATAATATTACACACTCTCTATGTTGCACTAAACTTGAAAAACACATTCTAATGTGTCGCCCAAACTCCAATTTGCACACAAGTACTGTGGTGTTCATGGGATAAAAAGAGCCTACTCATTCATAGCACACTGTCACAACCAGGACATTAATAATGGAAGTAATCATTGGTATCCAATCCAAAACTGATTGACAATGAGTAGAGTGTCCTCTTAAAAATATAGACCAACCTTGGGTGTCTCTAATTATTCAATGTGTGATACTGGCTTTCTTTAACTAAAAAAAAACAAATATGGTAAGAGACTTGACCACCACCTAAGGTCCGACTCTGATGCCATGTTAAAATATCTAACCCAACTGACGAGTAGAGAGAGACCCCTTAAACATATAAATCTAACCTTTAGTAGCCTTAATTATTCGATGTTGGATACACGCTCTCCTTACCCTCATAATTAATGAAGGTATTAGAGGTTGTTAAGAGTATTAGGGTAGTATATGTAATTTGTTAATAGTATTAGGGTATTATGTGTAAATACAAGAGGGTGTGTATGTGTAATTCTTGTTATGAGTTACCTATAAATACAAGTGATGTATGAGGACTAGAATATGTTTTTAACCTATCTCTGTTTCTCTCTAACATTGTGTTAATCTTCTACACTTAACATGGTATCAAAGCATTTACGATCCTAAATATATTCTAAATAAATTAACACTTGATATTGTTATGGTACTGTTGTTGTGGTGGTAGTGGTACTGTTGGTAAAAGCCACTATTGTGGTGGTGTCGTTGCTACTGTGGTGGTGGTGTCATTGCTGTGGTGGTGGTGGTGTCGTTGCTGTGTCGTGGTGGTACTTTTGGTATCGTGGTGGAACGTCGCTAGTTGTGGTGGCCTTCTCGCCGTTGTTTAGAGTTCGCTGTGGTGGTGGTGTGTTGTGGTGTGGAGGTTGTGGTGGACTGTCGTGGTGGTGAGGCACAGTCACAGATTAAATCAACGAAGAAGAAGAAGTGGTAGGGGGCTGTCGTGGCTAAAAATTAGGGTTTACTGAAACCCTAATCAACGAAGAAGAAGAAGTCTAGGAGCCTCGGGTCTGGATCAGATCGAGTCAAACCAGGGTCCAGCCCACGGTTCAGGCCGGTTCAGCAGCCCTGAAAGCCTGGTCAGTCCAGTTTAGTGGTCCAGCCCCATGGTTCAGGTCGGTTCAGCAGTCCAAAGACCCCAGCCGGTCCGGTTCAGTGATCCAGCCAGTCTAACCGGCTCGGTTCAGAGGTCCAAAGGGTTCAACTTGTCCGGTTCAGTGATCTAGTACTCTTTTTTGATCCGGTTCAGTGGTCCAGCCCCTATTTCTAGTCCAGTTCAGCCCTCCAGAAAGTCCAACTAGTCCAGTTCAATGCTCCAGCCCTCATTTCCAGTCCCGGTTCAGCATTGCAACACTTATTCTTTACTATTTGCTGCACTATTATGGAACCCAAGCAAAATACCACGTCCCTTACTCCATCTGTGCCTCCTCCTACTCTTATCAATAGTCTCATGACCTCTGTCAAACTCAATGGACTAATTACACTTTATGGTCTCGATCTGTTCAAGTCTTTCTTTGAGGTAAAGGATTTAAGAAATATTTGGTGAATTCTAAACCTAGGAAGACACTCCTGGGTATGATCAGTGGGAACAAGAGGATGCTCAGATTATCTCTTTATTGTTGAATAGCATTGAGCCTCGTATTAGCTCTTCTCTACTCTATCTTGATACTACCAAAGAGATATGGGATCACTTGGCCGTATTCTAGTTCAGGTAATTTTACCCGTGCGTATGAGGTGTGCAAGGAATACTTTCGATTAGAGCAGGGTACTCTGAGTCTTGCAGATTATTACTCTCATGTTCGAGGAGTTTGTAAGGAGATGAAGACCTATCATCCTTTTACTACTGATGCAGCAATTTGACAGAAGCAACATAAGGACCTAAATGTTGTTAGATTTTTAGTAGGATTGAAACCTGAATATGAGCCTATTCGTTCTTATATTTTGGGTGGTTCTAGTCTTCCATCACTGCTCGAGGTTTTCTCTTGTTTACAACGTGCTATATTGTCTTCTCCTTCATGCATTGATCATGGTGTCTCCACTGATCACTCAGCTCTTGTGGTTCCTAGTAGCCATAGTGATGGTCATTACGGTGGACATGGTGGTCGAGGAGGTCGTACAGGAGGTTGTACGGGTGGTTGTGGGGGCCCTAATGGATCCCGTTCCTGTACTCACTGTGGTCGTGGAGGACACACTATTGACTTCTGTTGGGATTTACATGGAAAATCTTCTAGTGCTGCTAATCAGGCTTCTTATCAGCATGATACCTCAGTTGTTGCTTCCATATCTCAATCAGCTCCACCAGACACTGGGTCAGTTACTATTACATTGGGTTGAGAGGAGTATGCCCAGTTCTTGTCCCAGCAACAGGCTGTACCATCTCCCTCTACTACTACTTTTGCCCAGTCAGGTACTGCTTCCACTTGTTTATTGTCCTCTACTCGCAGTCCGTACATCATAGACTCTGGCGCTTCTGACCACATGACTGGTGTGTCTGATGTCTTTTCTACTTATCAATCTTTTACTTTCACACGTAGTGTTACTCTTGCTAATGGTACCTGTTTTAAAGTTTCAGGTCTGGGAACTACTCACTTGAGTCCTGATGTGTCCCTATCATCCATATTATTTATTCCTCAGTTTTCTTTTAGTTTACTTTCCATTAGTAAGGTTACACGTTTTCTTAATTGTTCTGTAACATTTTATCCTTTTTATTGTGTCTTTCAGGATCTCAAGACGAAGAGGAAGATTGGTACGGGGCATGAAGCATGTGGCTTATATTATTTTGATTTTGATTCACCTACTCGGGCTCTACAGACCTCGTTGTCTCCTTTTCAATGGCATTGTCGCCTTGGACATCCCTTTCTCCAGAATCTGAAGCGCCAAGTTCCCAGTCTTAGTTGTGTGTCGTCTTTATCTTGTGAAACTTGTCAACTTAGTAATTATCACCGTGTGTCATTTCAGTCCAGAGTCATTAATTATGTGTCTAGTCCATTTAAGTTGATACATTCTGATGTATGGGGTCCAATAAAGAATATTTTATCTAATAAATATCTTTATTTTGTGTCTTTTGTGGATGATTATTCTCGTGTGACTTGGTTGTTTTTTATGAAAGCTCGGTCTGAATTAATCTATATTTGAGACCTTTCGTAAGGAAATAAAAACTCAATATGGTTGTTGTATACGTATTTTACATTCTGATAATGCTCGAGAATATGATTTTGATCCTTTCTCTGCTTATCTTAGTAAAATTGACATTATTCATCAGACTTCTTGTGCTTACACATCTCCACAGAACAGTGTTGCTGAACACAAAAAACCTTCATTTGTTGGAAGTCACCCGTACCCTATTATTCCAGATGAATATTCTCCGATATTTTTAGAGTGATGTTGTACTCACTATTTGCCATCTTATTAATCGTATGTCTTCCTCTGTGTTAAATGGACAAAGTTCATATTCTATCTTTTTTCCTAGTAGGCCTTTATTTTTCCTATCTCCTAAGATTTTTGGATGTGTCTGTTATGTTCACAATTTGGGTCCTGGGTTTGATAAACTTGGTCCTCGAGCTACCAAATATGTATTTCTTGGTTATTCCCGCACACAGAAGGGATATCGCTGCTACAGTCCTTCTCTGCGACGATATTTTAGTAGTGTTGATGTCACATTTGAGGAATCACCTTCTCAGCTTTTGGATCTGGACTTTGGATCACCTCTTGTACCACCATCCCTTCCCTCACCTTCAGATATTCCGCTGCCTACTGTGCTACCGTCTACTTTACCCCTTCGTGTATACTCTCGTCGTCCTCAATCATCGACTTAGGTGTCCGTACTGTCTTCCTTGCCGCCTTCTGATCCTGGTCCATCAGGTAATTCAAACTTTTTACCTATTGCTCTTCGAAAAGGTACTCGTTCGTGTGTTACTAATTATCTCATTGCTCATTTTGTTTCATATGATGCCTTATCTCTTATTTTCTCTTGTTTTACCTCTCAATTATCTACTATATCTATCCCTAAACATTTACAGGATATATTATCTGATATGGGTTGGAGGAAAGTTATGGAGGATGAAATGGATGGCTTACATCATAATGGGACTTGAGATCTTGTTCTTTTACCCTCAGTAAACGAACTGTTGGTTGTCATTGGGTGTATACAGTTAAATTTCATCCGGATGGTTCTGTGGAGCGTCTCAAAGCCCGGCTTGTTGCAAAGGGCTTTACTCAGACCTATGGTGTTGATTATGAGAAGACTCTCTCTCTTGTTGCCAAAATTTCCTCTGTTCGTATCTTGATTTCTTTGGCTGCTAATCTTGATTGACCCTTGTTTTAATTAGACGTCAAGAATGCCTTCCTCCATGGTGACTTGGTTGAACAAGTATACATGGAGTAGCCACCTGGGTTTACTGCTCAGGGGGAGTATGGTAAGAGTGTATGTCAGTTAAAGAAATCTTTGTATGGTTTGAAGCAATCACCGAGGGCATGGTTTGGTAAATTTTCAAATGTAGTTTTAGAGTTTGGCCTTCTTCGATGTCAGACAGACCATTCTGTGTTCCATAGACAGACGGATGCTGGATATGTTCTATTGGTGGTCTATGTAGATGATATTGTGATTACTGAAAATGATTCTGAGGGGATTGCTAAGTTCAAAATCTTCTTGCAAGATCGATTTCATACTAAGGATTTGAAAAAACTCAGGTATTCCTTGGGAATTGAAGTGGCTCGATCTAAACAGGGTATTTGTTTATTACAGAGAAAACATGTACTTGACATACTATAGGAAGCAGATTTGTTAGGTGGTAGACCGATTGATGTTCCTATGGATCCGAATCAAAAACTATTGATGGATGATGATGCACTGTTTGAGAATCCGGGTCGGTATTACAGATTGGTTGGGAAGCTTAATTATCTCACTATTACTCGACCGGATATTTCTTATGCAGTCAGTATAGTAAATCAGTTCATGGGGTGTGCTAGAGTACGACATTGGAAGACAGTTACTCATATTCTACGATATCTTAAATGAGCTCCTGGACTTGGACTGTTATATCGAGCTAATGGACATCTTAGAGTGGAAGGTTTCTCATATGCTGATTGGGCTGACTCTCCTTTTGATCGGAGATCAATAACTGGTTATTGTATTTTCTTATGAGATAACGTTGTTTCATGGAAAAGTAAGAAACAATTTGTGGTAACAAGATCCAGTGCTGAGGCTGAGTATAGGGCAATGATGCATACAACGAGTAAGTTGACTTGGCTACTGCACTTTCTCCAGGAAATTGAGTTCACAGTTCAACCTCCTTTACAATTGTCCTGTGACAACTAGGCAGCTATCCATATCACTACCAATCCAATGTTTTACGAGAGAACCAAACATATTGAAGTTGATTGTCACTTTATTCGGGACAAGATAGTAGCTGGGGAGATTACGACTCCATTTGTGAAATCTAAAGATCAGCTTGTAGATATGTTTACCAAAACATTGAGTCGTACACGTCTTATAGAGATTTGTTCCAAGGATTATATGATATATATAGTCCAGCTTGAGGGGGGTGTTAAGAATATTAGGGTAGTATATATAATTTGTTAATAGTATTAGGGTATTATGTATAAATACAAGAGAGTGTGTATGTGTAATTCTTGTTACGAGTTACCTATAAATATAAGTGATGTATGAGGGCTAGGTTATATTTTTAACATATCTCTGTTTCTCTCTAATATTGTGTTAATCTTCTACACTTAACAAGGTGAAATCAAGATCAAGATTTTTTGTTTGCAGTTCATATTTAAGAAGCTACTGCACAGAAGAGCAAAGATAAACTGTATAAGTTGACCAAAACCATACAGATCTATTTCCTTCAGCTTAAAAGTTTCATTGAGTTCACACTGCTGCCTGAAAGCATTGGCTCTCTCTGCAATGGTGGACTGTTTCAAGAAAACAAATGAATAGCATTAGATTTTCACAAATAACAAAAAAAACATACACAAAAAAGATAGAAAGTTAAAACCAATAAAAAGAATAGATGTGACCGTTAAAGATCCCAACAGTGAAGCAACCCGTCATTATTATTTTCTCTCTCTACATGAGTAACAGAAACATCAATGTTTTAGCTATACCATACTGATAAAATTCCAAGTGAGCAGGAAAGAAACGAATCACCATGCTAAGTTCAATCATATGGTTCAAAGTCAGGGTATCAGACCAATCTGAGAGCACCAAGATGCATCGTACGCGGTGTCACGAAATGGTATCGGACGATACACATGAAATGCAAGAGAGAACAAGTTCAAGCCAAGAGATTCGGCCGACTCATGGTTGAGTTGGAAACACCTTGGATGACTTGGTCGAGTCAAGCGAGACTCGTGATATACATGGAACGTGGAACACTATCAGAATGGAAGGTGTCAAGTCGTATTGGGCTTGTCTGATTCTTTAAACCATGAGTTCAGTGAACTATTCAAGACGTAGATGACAAATTCTTAACAAAGAGAATGCGCTAACAACTCACTTTGATAGATTGCACAGCACGAACATAGTCTTTTAGAGGTTCTTCAAAGTTCATCAAGAGGTGGTGGGCCTGAATGATGGAGCAAAGGCAGTTACCACATAATTCTTTAGTGTCATATAAGTCAGAAAACAGTTTTAAATAATTGGGTGATCTTCCAATTAAAACTCACCTCCCTCTGAAGCTTAACTGATAACATCTCTGATTTTGCTCCAAGCTCAGAAAACGCCTTCCCAAGAGCGTTTCCTTCAAAGTCGCCAAGGAGCTTGACTGCCTTCCCAAAATCAGACAGTGATTGCCCCAACTCTGTTAATATATATAGGGAAACTCAGTATATACGGATCTATGTTATTTACAATATGCATTAGGGTGAAGGAATAAGAAACCTGAAATTGATCTCAGGTAATAGGTGAAGAATATGAATATCATAAAAAAAACTAAGTATTTCAAGTCCTTGAATCAGGACAAAATAAATGCAACAAAGCAAAAAATAAAAAATTAAATCAAAGTTCTTCATACCTCTGTGCCTCTTTACCAGACGATATGCATGTTTCTGAGCTTCAGCTAGGTGATCTTCGAGCTCAAAGATGTATCGTTTCAGTTTCTCATATTCAGGATTCGATTCTTCAACTGGCTTTTCCTTTCCAAGAACAACATCACTCACCTTAGATTGCACATCCTGCCAAACATGTACAACGGTCATTGGTCATTGTTAGTGACCAACCAGAGAGAGACAGAGGCCATTGCTTGCTAATTTCATCTTTTCGAATGGATACTGGTCTAGATAGGAGGCGGCCAGATTCAGGTTCAGGGAGAGGTGAATACCGGCTGGGATGCTTGATGAACTCTGGGATTCTGTGCTGTGCAAGACCAGGTCAGAGGAAGAAGGTTCGTTCAATAATACAAAACCAGCTATATTCTATCAGTCGTCAATCCAGAATATACCATAAGGGTCCTCAATCATCCAATGTTAGAGCTTATTTTATGGTTGACAAAAACCTCAATGTTATTGAAGGCTCCCTAATGGTTTATGAAATTGATATAACCTCACATTTGTATCTTCACTTATAGGCCCACAATGACCTGAGTTGAGAAAGAATTGAGTATTCCAGACTCAGCTTGATCAGAATGTGCTCAAGGTTAATTAGATCTTGAGTCATCATGTTCAACGGGCATAAGTTTTAGCTCTTTTATTTACTGAGATTTTTCCATGATCACAAAAGTATCCTCATTAATTAGACATGACATACCCTGAAGATTTGCATCAAATCAGTGGGCTTCTTTTTAAAAATCCCAGTCTCCTGAGACCTTGCTCTCTCCATTGTCTGCGGAATATGCAAAAAGATAATATCAAGATTAACCACAGAACTTCATGAAAAAAGCACAGCTAAAAAGGAAACAAAAGAAAGAACAGCAAATTGCACAATGTTATTATCAATACATGCTTAGGCAACAATAAGTTCAACAAAGTCTTCCAAACAATGTATGTGATAAATGCTTCCTCAACAAAATCAGTTACCAGAATTCCACTTCTCGGGAATTGAGCATCAACAAGAATTTGACCCTCCCAAGAGTCCAAGACCGCATAGGGAGGGGGATCTCGTGCACTGAGATGTCTTTTTAGGAAAATTTCCAAGTATTCTCCTATGGACTATGGCAAATCCAAGGTTTTTGAGATAAGTGGTTTAGGTAGTGGTTCGGAAGACTTGAGAAGCAAATAACATATGCATTTCAGGCCTAAGTACTGCATCTCGTCCAAGGTTTTTGAGATGTTTCCTTTTACTAATGAAAATATGAAGTCCTCTTTGGTGCTCCAGGAGAATCTTTGGGTGAACATTGGAGCATCAACAAAATTTCTTTGTCGAAAAACCACACACCTAGCTTAATCTATTCATAGACTGGTTAACCATCAACCAAAAGTTGTGGGCCTGTTTCTTGGAGCAATCCTGAGGGCAGCCACATTGTGCAAACAAAGACCAAAGTTATGTTTACACCCAATCTGCCCCTCGCAGCCCCAAGAATCAAGAAAACCTATATCATTGCCCTAGGAAACTGTAAAGTTTATTTGAACAACATTTACACAAGGAGATGGGTTGGTTCTCCCGTTCAAAGAAAAAAGAAAGAAAAAAAAAAAAGAGAAGAGAAGAGGCAAATAAACCCACAAAGTTAAGACGAATGCAAGGAAAAGGAAGCCAAAGTGCAGCTACATCCATACAATTTGTTCCTAAGCCTATATTAAAGACATGCTAAATTATAGAGTGGAAGCTGCTCAATTCCTTCCAAATTGCTGCCTCATGAGGACCTAAGAGTTCACTAAATGGTGTCCTCAAAGAAAAAGAATATAACAAACACATGTCTTTCAGAAAATAAATATATCTCCCAAGGGATTATAAACTGCTTTGAGCATGACATCAGATAACTCAGACATCTCAGCTTTAACAGATATCCTCTTCCCGCAGGAATCGCAAGGCAAAAGGTATGTAAAAGCCATGGTTTTCACTCTCTGGTATCTTACAGCATTGTTCTAGCTCACTATTCTGTGTGGGAGATGGCTTTTTTCCTTTCAGAGCACATACCCACCTTGCCCTTTTCTACTTTTATATTCAATAAATTTGTTTCTATTAATTGCTAAAAAAAAATCCTAAATATCAACCACCTAAGACATTTGGAATATTTCAGATTCTGTTTCTTTACAAGTAGAACAGTTTCCAAATCTAGTGATAATGGACTGCACAGGAACTATGTGAAAAAGTTCACATCAATTAACGGGCATTAGAATCTTCAGGATGAGGCCTTATCTTCATACAGGACACCAAATCTGTTAGTTTCTTGCTGCCTTGCATTAAATGTTAAAGCCGTTCAGTTGATACTTCCAAGATAGTTTCATAGTAGGATAGGGAACTAAGTTATCCTATTTAAGCTGTCAAACCTTGATATATCACCTGCTCATCTGCCTGCAAAAAGGTTCTCAGATCCTCACTCTGCTGGAGCTCATGATGTAAAGCTATCCGGTTAATAAACACATCCAATGCTTGACGCCTCATTTCAATGAATTCGGTACTGAATCTAAACTTCTCTGCATAAGAAAGACTGAAAGTTAATCAATACAATTTTAAAATGCTTCGAACAAAATCATGGTAAAGAGATCCTTGGTAAAGCCAAAAGGAACACATGTCAAGATAGTAAGGAAAAGTATAACCTACAACTGCTATGGACCAGATAGGGTGAAATTGTAAAAAACAATGTTTAAAAAATTTAAATATCAGTTTTAGACCTTTTTCCTGATATATTGAATCGTCATATTCAATTCTCCACTACAATATCCCTAATTTTTAAATATGTACTACAAATAATGTCCTTAGGATTAAAAAACCAGATGATAATCCAAGCCACTGTGGGATTTGTTGAGCTGACAAGTGACCACTTTACTGAGATAGTGACAGGGAAGTCCCTACAGGGGCACAAGGAATGCTAGATGGTTGGATTAAAAGGTGTTCTTATGAGCATATATTTTTTGCGCTCTGTCAAACAAATAGCTTAATAGACGTGTACTGGAGTGAAAGTAAAGTACAAATGAAACACAAAAATTAATTTTGAAAGATCAAGCAAATTAATCAATAGCACAATCATATTGTGAGACCAACATTTTTCAATAGAAGACAGCAAATTGTTACCTACAGTGTTCTTCTCTGGAAGAGGAGGAAAAAAGATACCCTTGTACTTCTCAAAAATACGATCATGTAGCCACACAAAATCACTATAGCGCCGAATAACAATTTTTTCTGGTCCTTGATATTCAGGTAAGTTTGTCTGCCACAAGAAGTTACAAACTATTCAATTAGCAAACTTCATAAAGTATTTCAATTTGAATTTTCAATTTTACGTCCAAATACAGAATCAATTGCCCAAAAATCCTAAACCGATAAAGATACATGAATACTGTTAAGTTTGGAGGATTAACATAATATATTAGGGACAAAGAGAGAGGTTAAAAACTTAACCTAACTCTCATACATCACTTGTATTTATAGTTAACTTACAATAATAAGAATTACACATACACCCTCTTACTATTAACAATTTACACATATTACCCTATTATTATTAACACTCCCCCTCAAGCTGGACTATATATATCATATAATCCAAGCTTGGAACAAATAACTGTAAGACGTGTACGACTCAATGCTTTGGTAAACATATCTACAAGCTGATCTTCAGATTTCATAAATGGAGTTGTAATCTCCCCAACTACTATTTTGTCCCGAATAAAGTGACAATCAACCTCAATATGCTTGGTTCTTTCATGAAACACAGGATTGACAGCGATATGGATAACTGGCTGGTTATCACAGAACAACAGTAAAGGAAGTTGAATTGGAAACCCAATTTCCAAGAGAAAGTGTAGTAGTCAAGTCAACTCACTCGTCGTATAGGTCATTGCCCTATACTCAGCCTCAACACTGGATCTTACTACCACGTGTTATTTCTTACTTGTCCATGAGACAACATTACCTCATAAGAAAGTATAATAACCAGTGGTTGATACAGAATTAGGAGGAGCAGACCGAGGTATAGCGACAGGAGTAGGGGTGTCATCCTGATAAGAAACCTGATTAGCAACACCCGAAGGCTTGCCATGTAAATCCCAGCAATAATCAACAGTGTGGCCTCCACGGCCACAGTGAGAGCATGAACGAGATCCTGAACACCCTCCACGACCTCCAGTACGGCTGCCAGTGCAGCCTCCCCGACCACCGCGACCACCTCAGGAACTGTCACCATGGCTACTCGGGACAACAAGAGCTGAACGATCAGCAAGCACACCAGACTCCGTGTTAGATGAGCTGATAGAGAAGGTAGCACGGTGCACGCAGGAGAAGACCTCTAGTAGAGATGGAAGACTAGAGCCACCCAAAATCTGAGAAGGAATAGACTCGTATTTAGGTTTCAAACCAACTAAAAATCGAACAACATTCAAATCCTCATGTTGCTTCTGCCAAACCGTTGCATCAGTAGTAAAGGGATGATAGAGCTTCAACTCCTCATAGACTCTCCGAACATGAGAGTAATAGTCCTCAAGACTCAAAGTACCCTGCTCTAGACGAAAATACTGTTTGCATACTTCATATGCACGAGTGAAATTCCCAGTACCAGAATACATGGTGGCTAAGTGATCCCAGATCTCTTTGGCCGTGTCAAGATATAGCAACGTAGAACTGATACTGGGCTCAATACTATTCTATAGCAATGAAATAATCTAAGTATCTTCTTGTTCCCACTTATCATACCCAGGAGTACCTTTCTTAGGTCTAGTGTCCACTGAATATTTCTTAAAGCCCTTACCTCTAAGAAACACTTGAACAGATCGTGACCACCAAACATAATTGGTCCTATTGAGTTTAACAGATGTCATGGGACCATTAAGTAGAACCGTAAGAGAAAAATTTGGAGACGTGGATGAAATAAGATCAATCTGACTATCATCATTTTTATTCTTGGGTTCCATAATAATATAGCAATGATAGAAGCAAAGAAAAAGGAGAAACCGTGGATTAAGGGCCTGAACCGGACCAAATAAGGTTGCTGGAGTGATAAATCGGACTGAACAAAGCTACTGGAATACTGAACTGGCTTGCAAAAGTGGACTGGACCACTGAACCGGGCTAGAAAAATGGACTGGATCACTAAACCGGGCTGAAAAGTGGACTGGACCACTGAACCGGGCTTGAAAAGTGAACTGGACTGCTAAACCGGGCTAGAAAACCGGGCTGGTCCACTGAACCGGATCAACAAGACTCTCTAGACCTCTGAACCGGACCGGTTAGGCTCTCTGGACTCCTGAACCGGCCTGAACCATGATCCGGTCTAAGATGAACCGCTGACCCGGCCTAACCCGTGATCTGGTCCAAACTGAACTGTAGGCTGAACCAGGTTTGGACTTAAAAACAATTTAAGTCGGGCTTGACCCGATCCAATCCAACCCGAGTGAGTCTGGAGCTCTTCTTCTTCTTTGTTACTTAGGGTTCCAAGAAGCCTCCCCCTGGTCTGCGACAACAACACACGCCATAAACCGACAACAGCAAGACCACCGCAGCCACCACAACCACACCACTACCACGAAGAATGCTACTCGACGATGAACCGAAGCCACACCACCACCACCACCACAAGCAATCACACTACCACACACCACATCCACCACAAACGACGCAAGTGGGCGAACAGAAATCACACGATCAATAGACACCACACAACAGTGTTCATATATTTAAAATCGTTTAAGCTCTAATATCATGTTAAGTTTGGAAGATTAACATAATATATTAGGGACAAAGAAAGAGGTTAAAAACTTAACTTAGCTCTCATACATCACATGTATTTATAGTTAACTTACAATAATAAGAATTATACATATACCCTCTTACTATTAACAATTTACACATACTACCCTACTATTCTTAACAAATACAAAAACATGGAACAAAAACAAAAAGTTTGCAATCCATTGTTTCATTATAAAATAGAGCTAGTTGGTCCATAGTTGTCAATATCTTATGATACATCTTGATACAGTACCCAAACAATACATATCTCACGAGTTGTATTGTTTTTCACCGCATTTTGTAATATGCGATATGTATCTTACACTACATTTCAATACAATGAAAAAACGATTCACGTAATATCAAAACGACGTCGTTTTCACAAGGTTTTTTTACCATAAACAGTGAAATAACATTTTCCAATGCGTTATTTTTTCTTTTTTGGTTTGATCTCAAACAAAAGCAACTCTCAATCATTTTATTGTTAGGAGACCCATCTTTTGTTTCTCATGCATCTTATTTTCTTTTTTTTTTTATTGAAACAAGCAAAAGCATAACTGTATTTTCGATCTTCGTTGTGAAGACAAATGATTCTCTTTTTCGATCTCTATTGGACACACACATCACACAAAAATGATAAGTGAGTTGAAATGGTATTTATATTACTTCAGACACTATATATACATATTTATAGGGGTGTGTGTTGTGTATACAATTTTTTTAAACTTAGGATACATGATATGTTACGATACACTATACATAATTTTTGAAAAACGATGCATGTTTCAATACACGTTTTGACAACCTTAGGTGGGTCCATAAAACAAAGTCATTTATTTCAATATATCTAATTGAAAAAAAAACACTTGCATCTCCTTTCGTTTTTCCACCTCCCCTTCATTTGGTTATTCTAAATATATAGAAAACGAAAATAAAATAAGTTTAAACAAGGTGAAGAAAGCTTTTTTCAGATTTTTTCTATCTTTTTTTTTTTTAGTATATGTCTCTAGAAACAAAACGAAGTCAAGCACCTAGATACAACAATTTGAACTAAACAACTTCAGGTAACAAAAAAAAAAGCATTTTCCAAAAAAACCAAAAGAACAAAGCAAGAAATTGCTGCCCAAGGTACCATTACCTAGTGCAGTTTAGAGGTGCCATTACCCAATGTAATCGTGAAATTCTTCTGCCAACCTCAAGGTTCTCGATTCATATATATGCAAGGACAAGTACCAAAATTTAAGTCCATACGCAGCCCCAAAAAACAAAATTCAAAAATTCATGTCAAAACGTGTTTGTTTCCATAGAAACTGGAAACAATCTGTGAATGAATATTAAATTTTTATATTTCGAGGTGTTTTGGTATGTTTTCACCTATGTTTCAAAAATAAATTTTTAACTTTTTTCTTGTTTTGATTTTATTTTCGAAACATTAGTAAAATATTTCCATTTCTAGGTGACTAAAATAACTTACTAAAACAAAATTTTGATCATTGCCCCTCCCCCTACTCCCCAAGGAAAAAACCTAACAACGTCTCAAGGATCTCAAACTGGGTAAAAGGTTTTTTTTAAAAACAATTTCCTACCAATCAAACTTAGAGCATCTCCAATAGTGCTCTTTATTCTAGAGAGCATTTTTTTTTAAATAGAGAGCATCTTTTATAAAAAAAATTAAAACAGAGAATTGATTTTTAAACACCAATCCAATAGGACTCTTTATCCTTATCATTTTATCATTTTATATTTTGTCCTTTTTTGGAATAAATTTGTCTTCCCTCCCATTTTGCCTCCATTCTTTTAACAAAAATAAATCTATAAATTATTCTAAACCAAGATATACAAACCAAACACAAAATATCTAAAATCTATTGATTAATTTAAAATTAATAAATATATATTATATAGATGTATGTAGACATACCAGTGAACAAGTTGAGGGATGGCCACCAACTAAGAGTGCTTGATATGAAATGGAATCAATAGAGTGTCAATTAATTAACAAGAGAAACAAGTTGAAGTAATAATTTAATAGTTATATCTCGATGTAGTACTTGTGGACTGTGGAGTTTGAAGACAAATTTAGCTTTTTCAGAGAAATCCACTCAGAGGTTCAGCCGAAGGAAAAAGTGAGTTTGACACAGTTGAGATATATTTACACCGAATGTCTTGAACGAAAAGGCAAAGATACCATTTTCCTAGTCGAAAAACATAGTGGAGAGAGCGAGTTTGACTCTCCAAATCAAAATTGAGTGAAAATAGAGAGCACATTGTGCTCTTACTGTACGAAAACAAATCCACACAACGGTATTTCAGGTTTGCAATAGAGACTTACGAGTTACGAATGAGTCCCCCTATTTGCAATCTATACATAACAGACATATAAATGAAAATATGACATCATATATTTCATACCCAAATATTTTTGGACTACCTTAGTGATGACTTTGTAGGAGATATAAGCTTGGACACCATTGCCCATTTTAGCCGGATCAGTGACTGATACCAATAGGAACGGAGGTTGTGAAGATGGAGATCTAGGACTTTGTGATATCCCAGATGAACTTCTTTGCTGTTGCATATTCAATAACCAACAATTGTGTCAAATCATATGTCTCTCTCCCTCTCTCTCTCTCTCTCTCTCTCTGTGAGCGTCCATATACATGTACAGAAAGTTCATATAAGTTCGTGAAAGGCGTGGATTGGGTGGTGGCAGATTCGTAATTACCTTTGCGATCATGGTTAGTCTGGAATTGTATGTCAAGGGAAGAGAGAGGTGGAGAGCCGCTGGTTCGGAAGTCCGAACGGATATGATGGAGAGACAGGTAGAATACGCCGGGGTGCGTAGTTTACTGTTCCGCCACAGCGAGGGTCTTCGAGCGGAAGATTACTGAATACCGATAAGCGAAAATGTTACGCGTTAACATTTTGGACAATTTTTTTTTTTTATATATATAGGTATATGGTGAATTGTACTTTTCCCAGCGAAAGATTTCAATATTCTTAATTTATACCCCAATAATTAATTTTTTCATATTATAATTTCAATGTCATACAATAGTTACAATTTGACACTGACACTAACATTCGCTGTCAAATCCATATTGTAATTCACTCATTAAGTATTTTATTTTAATCTCAAATATTTTATGGATGTTATCTTAATTTATTTTTTTTAGTCTCAATAACTATTTAAATTATTTTTTATTTATATTTAGATATCAAATAATAAATTTATGATCAAAAACTATTAATAATTTGGATGTTGTCTACTTAAGAAATCATATAAAAATATATTGAAAAGCAATCTGAGAGAACAATGCCATTAACCCAAACTTTTAACTAGGAGAAGGCATATGAGGAGAGAGCAAGAGTTTCAATCGATTCAACAAGAAGCCTTATGTTCTATTTGTTATAGTGTTCTTCTTTTATAAAGCAATGGGACGTTGCTGAAAATTGATAGGGAGGCAACACATGTCCTCAACATAGTGGTCTTAGAGTTTCCATAAAGAGACACGTGTCATCGACTTGGATGTCCTTGGTGTGGTTACCCCGAAGCGTTGCTTGCTCGACACATGTCCTCGACACCCAAGTCCCTCCAGGGCATTCTCTGCTTGACACGTGTCCTTGATAGTTGGTTCCCCTTGGAGTCCCAATCGCTCAACACATGTCATTGGTGACCAGGTCCCCTTGAGAGGACTCTTCACCTGACACATGGCCTCGACGTTGAGCTCTCCATGCTGGTGAGATGTTGACGATTGCCTTGATGGCTGGCCTTTGCCAAATGGCTAAATTCCTAAAGAGAAGGTCAGTTGATGCAAGCATGCCAACGATCAAATTCAAGTAGAGCATCATAACTTGAGAGTGAGGTTGATTATCAATCATCGATCACCCTTCCCAAGGAAGTCAAAATGGTTGTAAAGACAGTTTATCAATCAAAGAGGAAGAATCACAGACTACAAGATATGTAATTTCTAATCTCTTGGGAGTGATGGATGAAAGTGCCCTTGCGCGTACACAACCACAATCAGGGCTCATTAACTGACCCAACAGAAGGATGAGACATATTTATTACTCGGTAAGATCATAAAGACGAATATTAAATGCCCAAAGATTTGAGCATTAAATGCAGAAGCTTCTGCCACCTGAAAAGGAAAGCACTCTACTCAAAGACTGTGCATCACATGTTGCCTTCCAAGTGAGTCAATGAGGAGTCTTTCCTCCAAGGGACCCAACTATCTGCAATGATTGACTCTAGGGAGATATAAATAACACTCTCAAACTCAAGTCTAAAGTACGCAAAATCTCAGCTCAACAATAGAACAATGTTTCTTCAAACCCTCTCTCAAATACTGACTTGATCGTCGAAGGGGTCACGCCGAAAAACACTCTGGTGCCCTTCTAACATTTCTTTTTGTGTGATAGGACCCAATTTGATAACTCACGAGCGAACAAATCGCTTGGAGAACGCTTCATCAACATCCATTACGACTTCTCAACACCCATTTGCTAGGGAAGTTTTTGACTTCTCAAACAAGCTTGAGTTCATCCAGGGGAAGATATGTCATATCATTTATTGTGCCAGAATCATCATGCACATAAAGTTAAGTGTTTAATTATTTATCAACAATGTCAAATGAATGTCTAACTGAATTTTCGGGGTCATTAATCCGCCAAAAATGAGTAGTAAGAAATTGTTTTTGCATGGTGATATCCATAACTTTGACAACACAAGTTTTTATTGTCTTCATACGCTGTTATCAGAATTGGATTGGACATATCGATTGAACCGGTGAACTGAATCCTTAACCGATTCAATTTAGTAATTAGACCTCTTACACAATTAAACCACCCAAAAACTTTTAAATCAACCAATTGTGTAGAAAATTAGAGAACCAAATAGTTCAATTAAACTAGACAGTTCGAATTTTGAAGGGATAAATAAAAATTAAATCAATTTTTGTCTTCTCTTCTCTAACGCAAGTAGTGATCTAGAGGCCCTTCTTTGAGGTTAACCAAGAACAACAATAATTGACGTTGTACGCATGTCTTTTATAAGTCGTCTTCTCCTCTTTCTCTCTTTACATACATACATGTTGTGTGTGTATTCTATTTTTGTAGATAGTGTGAATCTAACAAATGAGAATTCTTTATTCCAAGATGTTAATTTGGACATCCATCACAAGATTTATCAATTCTTTATAATTTTTTGAGCCTAAATAAGTGAATAAGTACTAGTTATGTCTTATGTGAAAACCAATAAGACTGTGTTTTGGATGGCTTAAAAAAAAGTACTTTTAGAGTTTTTGACTTTTCATAAGTTCTTTAAAAAAAAAAAATAGTGTTGGAATAACTTCTTAAAAACAGTTTTGAATTAGTAAAAATAATTTTAATACTTAAATAAGTTAATAAGTACAAGTTAAAAAAAAATAACTTATCCCTTTGATAAAACACTTGTTTAAAAAACCACTACTTCATCTTCATTTTCGTGCCGCCTACCCCGATGCAGATACTCTCATCCACGGATGACACTAACGATGATCACCTTGCCTTCAATCACCTCCCTGATCATCGACGAAGATCACTAGTGAAGCTCGAGAATTGATTACCACTGACAACGTCGAAATTAGCCCCCTCTCTCACTGTCTTTGTTTTGTTGTTGATCGAAACCCACTTGAATAAAGTTACAGCCTCTTCATTTTAAGTAATTTTATAGCTTCTATGTCACAGATCTATTATGAAAAAGCAACAATTCCATTTTTTGTTTGATTTATTGTAGGTTTCTATAATTTCATTTAAGATTTCTGGGTAACATTTATGAAAAAATTTGTGGTGATAGTTAAATGTTTTGGGAAAAAATATTTTTATTTGATTCTTGATTACTATGTTACATATTAGATCTGTGACATTTTTATGATTTGTGTATATCTATGATAACCTTGGTATTGCCCATTGCCTACTTCCCACTAGATGTTTGATTTATGGAGACACCTAAAATTGCCTTCTAGGCAGTGAACTCTATGGGAATCATTGATGCCATAAGATTAACCCCAAAACCCTGTACATGCCAATTGTTCATATTAGTTGAGGATTTAAGAGTGTCATTTAAAAAAAAAAAAGTTACCCTTGTTTTACTTGCCTTAACTATATTGATGTCTCAAGAAACATGCATGTGATATTACAATTGGTATAAGTTTGTTACTTAGCTCCTAAGAATGTCCAGACCAATAGTACACAAATATTTTTAAGAATGTAAAGATAGAACATGAAGCTCTACAAATTGAGAGCTATCAAAATTCTTTGCTAATAGATAGATAATTATGAAGACCATCAGAATTTAATATCATAATTAAGCTTCAAAGTGAAAAAAAGTAATTTTGTTCCAATAGAAATAGTTTAAATTCACAATTTGTGGCAATGGTGGGACCCAAAATGGTCTTACTTGGTTGGTTAGCTCACCCTTCATCTTCATTTCTTGGTATGGATTTTCTAATAGGAAGAAGAAGATGAATGTGGATTTGTGGCTTTATTCAATTTAGTTATTATTATACGCAATCTGCTAATAACTAATGTATTTTATGATATTACTTTAGATGGCTTATAGTAGTTTTAAGAATGACAAAGACAAAGTGAACTGGACTATAGAGAGATATACAGGGGCAGAGTCAGGATTTTTTGCCTTAGTGGGGGACAACCTAAATTCTTAAATTTCAAAGTATAATTGTAACATTGTTTTCATCAATATATGTAGTCTTGATAAAACTGTTTATAAGCATAGTTACATCAAAAGAATGTCATTTAAAGGCGCAACTCATGTATATCAATGATGTACAAAAAAAGGCAACAAAAAAGCTTCACATCAAAAGTATCATTTAATGCTTGAGATCTTATACAAAAAGAGCTCCTAACTCTCGAACATCCAATAAATCATTATAATTGTTCTCGACAAGTTTTCAAAATTTGAAACCGTTGCATAATCATTTCATTTTCAATGATATTTGAAACATCTTTCTCAATATATGCAACCAAGTAATCATTCATCCATTGATCTCCCATTCGATTCTTTATTATGTTTATTGCTGAAAATGCTCTTTTGACGGTTGCAGTGGCAACTGGTAAGATAAGTGCTAGTTTGATGAGCAAATATATCAATGGATATACTATATTTTTTTTTGTCTCAACTAACTTCTCCGCAAGCCTACCAATTCCGTTAACTTCTGAAAATTCATTGGAGCACATATCAAGTATATAAGTCTCAAATTATTTATCAAGTATCAAGAACTCCATTGGGGGAAATTCTGAAAGATAAAATTGAGCAAGACGAAGTAACTTCTCCTTATTGAATGCAGAGAATGAATCCATTGAATTTAGGCATGTCACACAAAGAAGTAGCTCGGTGTTCACCTCAGTAAAACGATCGCTAAGCTCTTAAAGTTGCATATCTAACACCGTAGAAAATAATTCAACACGATAATGGTGTAGATTAGTGACTATTTCACCACGTTGTGACCTTCCTCGAGCTATGTATATCTCATCCATATTCGGAATAATAATATCATGTTTTCCACAAAAAGAAGATACCCCGGCAACTAAAGCATCACATCCATCATCCCTCATCATTTGGACACGTTGTTTGGATACTTTAACTAAACTCATTGTATTTACGATATATTGATCTTTCCTTTGTAATGCTTGTGATAGTTCATTTGTAATTCTCAATACACCTTTCATCAAATGGAAATTAAATACGAAATCAAAAGATTGAACTGAATCTAATAAAGCACATGCCTCACCTTTTTGCTCAAAATTTGTATCATCCTCTACAATAATCTCAAGTACGTTAACAATAGAGGAGAACAAACAATCACATTTATGAGAGTGTCATAATGTGAGGCCCAACGTGTATCACCGGCCCTTTGAAGACTACTTTCTTGATGCAAACCATGCCCACTTGATAACTCTCCATTGTTTAGTACTTGAATAACCTTTCTAACTTGCTTATCTCTTAAAATATCTCTTCATTTGCATGAAACTCCAACAACATTCAATAAATTAGCAACAATATTAAAAGCAATGCAATTTGATTGTGATTTTTTGCAACAAACACAAGTGTGAGTTGAAGTTGATGAGCAAAACAATGAACATAAAAAGCAGATCCATACTCTTTTATAATGAGACTTTTGAGACCATTGAATTTTTTCCTCATATTACTGACTCCATCATAACCTTGTCCACGTAATCTTGACAGACTTAATCCATGCTTTGAGAACAATGATTCAATCGCCGCTTTAAGTGATAAAGTATTTGTATCAATAACATAGACTATGCCAAGAAAACGCTCAGTGATGCATCCCTTTTTATCCACGTAGTGCAACAGAACTGCTATTTGCTCTTTAACTGAAATATCATGAGATTCATCTACTAAAATGGAAAACAAATCATTTCCAAGATCATTGATTATTGCGCATGTGGTTTCACTTGCAATAACGTAAACAATATCCTTTTGAATGTTTGGTGTTGTCACTTTGAGATTCTTTGAAGCATATTTTAAAACAACATTGTTGATGGTTTCATTGTGCTCAGCAAGAAATCATAGAAGTTTAAGAAAATTGTCTTGATTTTTTGAATCCTCATTCCTCAGACTCATTGTGACCTAATGCTAACTCTTGACGTAAAAGGAATTGAACACAATCAACTGCTGCAGTTAAACGAACTC